CATCAGATCAGTTTGTAATATTCGGTGACCACTAGTAAGACATATGACTGGTTGTTTAGATCCTTTAATTTGTTGTGAACATGTGAACTAGCACTATTTATTATCATGGGTAACCTTTGTGGTTTCTTTTTTTATGAATCTTTTCTTTTGACACTGAGCTCCATTAACATGCCATCAACCAGGAATGCCTTATTTTTTCGGCAGAGTCGACGGTAGCTGTTTGACAAGCATAGTGTGATGGCACAGTACTTAGGCGGTCGGTTTGAAACTCAAGAGAAGGTTCCAGGTTCGATCTCGACGAAAAACAGTCTTTGACTTGGGTTGCTTAGTTGGTGCAATATCGGACTCAGATCCGAAGGGTCCAAGTCTCGGTCAAGGTAACTCGCCTTGGTCCTTCCGAGGTTGACGAATGAGTACCATTCTTTGGGAATGAAACAGATTAAGAGGATGTTTTGTCAAAAACGATAGTGGTCTTTGCCTTTCTTCATGAAGGTTTAACGAAAATGTAGTATGAGTTAAACAGGAACAAGAACAGTGATAAAAATACTGCATCACACTGACTCAGGTGTGGTGAGCACTGACTACTAAACTCAGTGACAAATTCTTGCACTTTTCAGCGTCGACAACTCGGAGTACATGCGAAATGGTGACTTCCCCCCGGACCGTTTGGAGGCGCAGCAACAGGCAGTGACGCTGATTGTGCACTGTAAGCTAAAGTCCAATCCGGAGAACACCGTTGGTCTGCTTGCAATGGCTGGGTGAGTATTTGTTTCGTTCCTCGTCGTTTCCTTCTAACGTTCCCCGTTTTCTTTTGACTTCAGACACATCGAAGTACTAACCACGTTGACACAGGACAACAGCAAGATCTTCATCAAGCTGCATCAGCTACGCATAAATGGCGAGTCGAATTTTTTGGCAGGCATCCGTGTTGCTCACGTACATCCCGAAGGTGGCTTTATAAGACTATGATGTTCATGATTCGTGTCCTTTTTAGCTCGCTCTCAAACATCGTCAGAACAGAAATCACAGAACGCGCATCGTCGTTTTCGTCGGCAGCCCGATCAACGGAGACAAATCTGAGGTAATTTCGCTTCTATATGAACGATGGCAATTAACTCATGCAGCTTTCTGTATTGTTTCGATACTCTTATTATTTCGGTATTAACTTTTGGTATTATTACTTTCAGTATTGTCTGTTCAGAAGTAAGGCATGATGTGTTAGGCTAAAGAAGCGTATACTTATCCATAGGTACCAAATATACTCTTTGTATAGTGTACATCATACTTCTATATGGTGCATAGTGTCTGATGTTTATCTGTTCATAAATGGTTAATCTCTCATCTTTATTATATATTTAATGTATATACTTTTATTTCAATCACACTGTGAGGTATAACATAAATGACAATCTTCTATCAAGGGTTAGGTAGGGAGCTGCAGTGCTCTTCTGAAAATTCTGGCTGTTCCTCGTAGTATCGCCTCCAGTTTACCCACTTTGATCGCTTCATCAGTTTGCTTTAGCAGGCACTGATGGTCTTCTTTCACTGCTCTGCGTTTACTGATCACCAGACATACGTCATTACACTTAAGATATATTGTATATTTATTTGCTATAGATCATAAGCTGTTCGTACGCCAGAATATGTCGACTAGTGAATGACACCTCCAAGACCAGATTTCACGGCATTTTGCGCTGCCCCGTTTATGCTATTGCATATGAGGAGCATCAGGTTTCGAATCATCGTTCGTGATGGGTGCCAGGTAGCTCTAGCGGACAGAATGATGCGAAATGCATCTAGCACTGCCGGTGTTCAAAGTCATCGAACCGTCGCTACTTACCCCCAGGCAAATAAGATCAGGGGGTGATGTGTGTTTGTGTCCATATATAAATTGATGGTAATGTGAGAGTAACAAGGATGTGTGCCTTCTTCGCACATGATAATTATGCATAAGTATGCCCTTTTATTCGCTTTTTATGCGTTTTGCTGTATTCCATTCTGTATGTGTGGGGAATATGTGCGTTTTCATTCATTTCGCATACACGTCATACTTGCTATACAGATGCCATACGTTGTACACACATGAAACCTATTATATATAACTTCAGAAACTCGCATCAGCTCCATTCTGCGGGTTACTGAAACGGAGTACTCTTTCCGATTACATTGGTTGCTGCACTAAAGACAGTGAACGAAATATTTATTTAATAATATCCTTACGTTTTGGCTAAGCTCGATTTTCATAAGCAATATTTAGTCAGTAATAGAATCAGCAAATGTACGCACTTCTAGTCTGCAGTCTGTGCGTTAATGTACAACAGATATAATGTCAACGTGGTGTACTTAGTTCTACATGGTGTACGAGCATCCACTTTATTTGTTTTCTGTGGTTATCATATATTACGTGCATTACGTGAATAGCTTATGCGTATACAGGCGTAAGTTAATGATATATGCAGTGTGAATATAACGTTTGTATGATATGTATTTTCGAAACTGATATTGTTTCTGCGCCATGTTCAAAACTGACGATGCAGCCGCGTAGACCGTCACGATTTTACCCTTTCATTGACATTCAACATTTGTGCCATTCAAAGACTTGCTAAATTCAGTGTTAAACAATGAATTGAACATATTATATATGTTAATGATGCTTTCAATTATGTGTCAGTTTTTAGTATGTGCGTCTGGCCAAGAAACTGAAGAAGGAGAAGGTTAATGTTGATGTGATTTGTTTTGGAGAACAAGAGGAAAATGCCTCAATGCTTGTGGATTTCGTGGAGACGCTTAACGGCGAAGAGGGAACAGGGTAAATTTATTTTTTACGATGTCACATTTGTTTGTTACGCTATGCTTTCGCATGTTTATGAATATTGCCTTACAAAATAATTTACGTATGTTGTCCAAGCTTTCAGCATAAGACATAGCAAAAATCTTAATCGTTCGTCTAGAAATAGAAAACGAGGTAATCCAATCAGAACGTTTTGAACAAGGAGAATCGTTTTTGCTACCGAGAACTGGTCAGTGACTTTTGGCATCATTTTAAAATGCTGTTCGTTAAATTCGTGTAATTCCTTTTCGTTTGCAGCAGGCATCGCATGATAGAATTTAGCTTTGAACGTCTGTAGTTCGCAATGCAACAGGAAGGGATATATTTATGGTAGGAATGGGTGGTTGTATCAGTTTGTTGCGTGTTTGAATTAAAGTTAATCGTCTTAACTTCCTGATCTATGCTTCAGTGTATTGCGCTGTTTATGCCGTAATAAGTTTGCGGCGTTAAAGTCAAAGAATTTTGCATTTCACTGCTACGTTGACCCTTAAAACGAATACCGTTAACATATTTGTGGCAATTCCCATTTTAGATGGACGAGCGTCAGCTGATTTAGCGTTTTTCGTCATCAGTTTTTTTACTTAATTAACGGCGAACTTTACAACTAATTCAGCTGCATGGGTTAAATTTTTTTGAACTTCGGTATCGTAAATGCGCCCATCATGTTGTTGCCGTTATTTTGTCATTGTCGTCTGAGGTTAACGGTGATTAAACAGTGAAATTCCGCTAACTTAAATTTCGTGGGCCGTTAGAAATAGTATTTTAGGTTAATATTAGGCAACGTTCACTGCTGCAGAAAGAGTCTTATTTCTGTTCGCAAGCAGGCATGCCTTAACGAGGTGTTTTCACGTGTCTACGGCCAGTGTTCGATTCCTTAGTGAAAAAAATTTTGAATAAATTTCCATTCTCTTTTTGGACTATTTTATCAGATTAAGCCATGTGCCGCTGTCATGAAGATATACAAAGTCCATCATCCCAGCGGTTACGAATTTTCTTTTCCTTTTCTTTATTCAGGTTAACATCAGACCGCCGGTTTTCGAAAATTGCTGATCTCTTTCTGAGTTGTTGTGCTTAAGTCAGTTGAAAACGTGATTCGCATGTTTCAGGGACAATAATCTGTCTTGTCATATAACTGAACCTTACTGCTGTAGTACTAGCTTTCTACGACTTGGTAAAGTAAATGATTAAGAGACCTCCTGCGTTCTTGTCGAGAACTTATGGACTGTCTGTGTATTGGTTACATTTTGGTCTGAAATCACATTCGCTAGTTCTTCAGTGCTATTAGCGATGGCGATCGGGTCTTTCTGCCATTGTGACATCAGTTTCCAGGTGTGCAGGAAGGTTCATTAGCTGAAAATATCTATTTAAAGTTGTAGCCAAAGAACGGCTTTTGTTTTGTCTGTTTTTTTTGCATTAATTCGCTTGGCAACATTTTTAATTAACTACGTGCTCTGTTTTCAGGTCTCATCTTATGTTGGTACCTGCGGGAGCCTCGTTACAGGATGCATTGATTAAGAATCCGATCATGCGTTCTGACGACGGTTCGCTTCCTGTGGTGACGGCGATGCCCGATGGAGGCTACGATTTCGGCATCGACCCGAACGAAGACCCTGAACTGGCCATGGCATTGCGGGTCAGTCTGGAGGAGCAGCGCCAGCGTCAGGAACAGACCATGCAGCAACAAACCGACTCTGCCGCAGCTGACGAACAAGGTACTAATTGGTTGACCGAGGCCTGTCCTATGTTTTTGTTTGATCGTGCCTTTGTTTTCAGAAAAATTCATTAATGCTAAGTTAAGTGGAGACTCGAAGTCCATGTTAAGCACGTAGGCGAGAGGTAAAAGGAGAAATAGGTAGTGCTCTTCTCTCTGATTTTTGATAGGCTGTCACATGCATCAATTTAAGAGTGTGCGAAATTTGTTTTATGATTGTGAGATACTTGGAAACATAAGCTTGATGCAGATGTTACAAAAAAAAGATTATATCTTTGACAATATCGATCTTTCTTCCCTGATACATTTCTGGTCAGAGTTATTTGCAGTGTTCTTGGTTAATAAAGGTTAAACTATCTCTTGATGTTCTCTCGTCTCAGTTTCGATGCTATCAGCTAGGGGTACTTTGTTTTTCAGGGACACTATCTCGGCGGTGTTGTCTCAGGGAGCCTACTTACCGTACGATGATAGTCATTTTTCTTTTCCTTCAGAACTTTTGAAAGGGATTTCAACCTTCTATCTAATGACTTACTCCGACAGTGCAAAATCATAGCATGGCGAGTTGCTCATTATTTGGACTATAACATGGTAAGGCAGACAGTGGCCCGTGCAGCGACAAATTCATACGTGATTTTTTTCTGCAGTCAGTCAGTTTCAGTGACCCTTTATTCTCTAGGTTTACTGATTCAGTGGCGTCATACTGTGTT